CCCCCATCTCGCCAAAGCCCCCCAGTCTTCTCTGCTTTGTTTCTTTTCTTTTTTTTTTCTCCCCCACATAAACTGCTTGTGAGACGAGAGCAAGCGGAGGGTGAAAGGAGACGATTACAGAGATAGGGAGAATCAAATCAAAGTGTTCAAAGTATGAAGCAACTGAGGAGGAAATGACATGAATGGACACACTGTGGGTTTAATGCCTTACTTTAGTGGATCTATGACGGTGCAACACACGCATTTCGTATGTATGTAAATTTGTGTGTTTGTACAGTTAATTGGGCATTCCCTCTGTCTGCGAGCCGGGGCTGTTTCCCTCAGGGGAAGCTTAGCAGGAGAGTTAAAAGAAGACATCAAGGCAAGGCGCTGGATATGAAAGCCCACCCCCTTGCCCATGACCCTTTCATTTCATCTATCCACACCCAAACACCCATCCAGGAACAATCTGCTTTCACTTTCCATCAGTAGCATTTAGGTTCATCTGGATTTTCTTTCTGTTTTTTTAAGCTTTTTACACATTAACTGTGCATCTCATTTTCTGCACGAGATACTTAGATTGTGTTAGAGCTGATTGTTCATTTTTCCACATGAGCTATTTTATCTTCCCGTGTTGCTGTATTTCTGTCAGCAAGGGTTAGACTGAGGATCAGGTCACACAAGGACAACAAGAGTAGAATTAAACAATACTATCTGTAAAAGTGTTTTATTCAAGATGTTACATTTTATATTGCATTTGCATTTTAGCTCAAATATCTGGAATAACAAAGTAAAATTTAAAAATACAGTTCAATTCAGTTTAATTACGATAGCAGAAATTCACAACAAAATTCATCTCAGACCACTGTACAGAACACATAACATGAAATGCTAGTTAGTTACTTAATTTTTTTTCTTGTTTTTAACCCTTTTCTGGATCTATCAGACAACTTGGATTTTGAGTACTGACTGCTTTGAAAAGCTTTTATTGACTCCAAATGTGATTTAAGTCTGGATATTGAAAATCAAAAGAGTCGTTTTTGTTTATTGTACGACTATCAAGGCCTTAATGGTATAGCCTTTGTAGGCCTGTCATGATAACAAATTTTTCTGGATGATAAATTGTCTCAAATTGTCACGATAAACCAAAATATAGTTAGGAGACCATTTTAAACGAATAAAATGAGCACACTTCTTACAAAGTTTATGAAATTTACATAGCATAAACAAAAACAACTGTCAATGAACCCATGATTTGGCACATTGCCCTGAAGCATCTATCTGAAAGAAGGCATCACAAAACCAAAGATGCTCCTCCAGTTGTTCATTTTCCAGTTTCTCCAGTTGCCTGTTCATGTCAATTGTCCACACCCTAACACCCATCCAGGAACAATCCTGGATGGGTGTAGGCTGTAGGCTCTCATGCTACAGAGGTTATGAGACCATGAACCTGTTAAATACTTGAAACAAGTCCATGCAAAGAAAAGAAAATTGCCCATGATCCCTCACAGGCTCTGCACCAATCAAATGAGGCGGTTAGAAAAAAAAAGAAACAAACTGAGCAAACCAACCCAGCTGAACTACCAAGCAAGGTTCATAGCCAAGAATCATTGTAATGCAACAAAATCAATGCAGTCAGCAACCATGCAGCCAACACAGTCTGAAGAAACATGCATTTAGCTCTGCTAGTTTTCTTCTTCTTCTTCTTCATGATGAATAACAACATAAAGGTGCATTACTGCCACCTCCTGGCTCAATGGTCCCGTTTTTATTCCCAAAACCAGCAAAAACATGTGAATGTGAGTTCTCAGCTCAGAGCCATTAGTAAAGCAAAAACTTGCTTTGAGTAGTTTACAGAACACATTTTGTTAAGTAATGGTCCCGCCTTTTGCAAAAACATGAAAAGATTAGTAATAATAGCTTGACTTACTACGTAAAAGAAAATTTGGGTTTACAGTGCAAGACAAAGTGCCGCGTAAACTTTTCATAACTTCAGCTTCAAGGTTAAAGTCACCAATCAAGATCAAAAGTTCTATGGTCTTTACTTGTAATAACACTTTGCAGATTAGCATACAATGTGCCGTATCTGGTACTCTTGTTGTAAAAACATCTTTAATGTTAAACACAAAAACACTGATCTTTGTGGTGAGAGGAACATTGTGAGGGTGTTCAGCCTCCATCTGGGTTTGTGTTAATTATTCAGATTCTCACGGTGACCACGCAGAATATCAATCAGCGAAAACACGCAGGTCGGGCAAAAGGAGATAAAATGCTGATTGACAGCCGCCCTGGTAATGATGCCCGCTGCTCCGACACTCTGTCTAATCTCTGAAGTGTGATTACAGAACGCAACAGCGCTCAGAAACATCCCGAAAGATTTAGTTATTGTTATGAAAATGACCTTTTTTAGTTTTTAAAAGTACATATTGGTTTACTATAATTCAAAACAAAAGATAGGGGTTCTTTTTTTTAAAAAATTACACAAATATTGACTCAAAGTAAAACAGAAAAAGCTGATTTTTATTTTTTATTTTTTTAATGAACAGTCGACCTGTTTTATTCAGTTTATCCTGAAAGTTTGACGCTTTGATGTGTGAAGTTCTGTTGAGGCTTTGTTCGGTAAATATTTAAATATTTTCCACTATTATTCGCCGTCTGCCTCACAAGCGCCGGTGCTCTACGCGAGGCGAAGATGAAAGGCTTACAGTCCAGAGGGGCCCTTCACAGAAATGATGCAGCCTGACAGCTCAGCCTCTGTTGTTCGAGCTCAGCGTGATGCTGTCAGTTATTCTTTATCTGTTGTTCTGTCAAGGTGAAGGCCACAGCTGTGAATACGAGCCAATGTGTCCTCACACTTATTGAAATATTTATTTGAGTGATCAGTTTTAACAGTGAAGACTTGCATCTTAACAAAAATAGAACTTCTTCAATTCAAATTCATTTCAGTGCAATGTCAAATATTGACAGATATATATTTTTAAATTTCTCAGTCTAACAATAGGAGAAACAAGTCTGCAACAATGGGATTGTGTTATTTCAGTTCATTGCAGATATCAGATTT